GCACCCCTTACTAAAAGACAGAAGGCTACAAACACAGTAAACCTACAAATACTTACACTTTTTTTATAATAATGAGGACAAGCGCAATTTAAAAAACCTCCTTTTATAGGAAAGGGCAAAAAGTAAAAGGCCAATAAAGGAAAGGAAATAGAATTTAAGTCTTGTAAAACACCAAGAAACAGGGCATGGTAAGTGACTTTGGAAAACACACATCTTGGAAAGCGATCTGTAAAATGGAAATATACACACCACCTGTTAGCACAAAAAATATTCAGTCACATATTCAAAGGACACTGCCCAATTACATACTACAACAGCCCCACCCGAAAGTTTGCACAGAAGTGAAATACTGGCAGAACTGGTTTCCACATGCTCCGTGGAAGCGGATATCTGCTTAATAAAGAAGGAAAAGAAAATGCCCTTCCTGTTAATTTTTAGTATCATCAGTACCATTGTATATAACCTCCATTCAAAAAAAAAGTATGAGGCTATTTATTTTAAAAAAATAACATTAAAAAGCACAAAAAATTAAACATCACATAACAAAAGCAGTGGTAATTATATCAACTATCTAGCCCCAGAATGGTCAACACTTAATTAAGCATTAAATTTAGATATAACACTTCCTGGCAGTGAAAATACTACAGCAGCTCATCCAGTTCTTGCTATCTGATGAGATGAACCATGCAAGTTAATCAGAAGAGGAAAATATCTTTCTACCACTTCCTTAGATGAAGGATGTGTGTGATTTTATATTCTACACAATACCTGGAATAACACTGCTGTTCACATGTTAAACAAGCATTCCAATCAATCATCTAACTAAATGGTTTGAAAGTTATGCCTAGACAACTAGACTGAGAAGGCTGACTTTACTTTCTTGGACACCCATATCCCACACAGTCTTGGGAAAAGCCTCTCCCAGCCTAAGCTCCACCCTCTTCACCACCCCTACTCCTGCAGGGAGGGGGAGAAAAGCTCAACAGCACAGTACAGGGCATACATCTGTAAGATTACAACTCAAAAAATAAATAAAATCCAGGGAAAAACTGCTTACAAGACTATATAAAAACCAAGTACTAGATACACAGGAATGTCATTCATACTACAAGCCTAACAAGCTCCAATACAGTCCCAGCAAAATCACAGAAAGCCCCACAGGTCCTTGCACATAGCATGCTCCAGGAAAGGCCTCCTCAATGACTTCAGACAATGAGGACGGATATAAAAATGACTTCTCCCCAAACGGACAACTTCCTAAGATCTCAAAAAAGAAGCAACTGCCACAACCATGAGGAAAGAAAGGGAACATGAGAATCACTCTCTTCTGCTTCTTCCAGAGGGAAATCAGAAACAAGTACAACTGCACACGTATTTCCTCAGAACTTCAGAAATGGGAAACCAAGAATGGCACAAAGTCATGAAAACAGTTGGGGGGAAATGTTAAGCCACCAGACGAGCTCCTCAAAATCAGAAAGAAGCAGGGCTAACGTCTGCCATTCACAAGGGACTGAACTACTACCACCCGACTCTCAGAAGCAGGCTCTTCGTGGGGAACCCTCAGCCACCAGCACCTACAACCGGAAGGGAGAGAGAAGAACGTGGCTGAACAGGATGCATAAGGAAGTCCCAAAGGGCAAGAGCGATGCTGCTTTTCTGAGAATGAAAAACTGACCCCATATGACCTTGAGCAGAGGTACTGTATATGTGTCAACATTTTGAATCCACTCAAGGATGAGATGTGGAAACCAAACGTGTCCCAGAAGCAGGATAAGTAAGGTTTTCAAGAAGACAAGGGGAGAGGCGGCCACCCAACCCTGTCCAGAAAGCCGAACCTAAGCGGTCAGAGAGAGGAAAGAGTGACGTGCCAGCAGAGAGACGTAAGCAAGAAAGTGGCTCAGAGCACCCATTTAGCCTGCTTACCTGCAGGAGGGCGCCTGGTCCCGGGACAGCTTCCAGGGAACCCGCAGACGCAGAAGGCACAATCACACTCAACTCGAGAGGAAGAGCCTGACTTCGCACAACAGCCTGAAGTGTGCGGCTCTAACCAATCTTCACAACTTTTCCTTATGCTGTGCCTTGTACAGAACACCCTGCTTAGCAAGGAAAACTACAAAAGGCCCGGGAAGGGGCACAGAAGAGCCACTACAAGAAATGAGCTGACTCTCTGGGTAAACGCCAGCAATATACAGCAGGCAGTCAAAGCTCACTGATACTTCCCCCTAAAAATACACAACTCCCATCGAGCTGATCAGATACAGACAGAATAAAATACACAAAAATCAAAAGAAGCTCACAAGAAGGAAAGTGTGGTCCACGGCTCTACTTTCTGGCAAAGGGCACCACGCCCACAAGACAACTCACTATTAACTAAAAGGCAAAGTTGACATGTCCAGGCCCAGTACTGACCAAACCTCCAGATGACCACATCTCCTTAGTAAATCAAGGTGGGCAGCTCAAAGGCCTGAATGCCAGGGCTCAAAACAGAGCTTGTTGGAGAGGACACGTGCCCACACTAGGCCTGTGGAAAAGTAAGACTCTGCTGAGGGACAGCAGCTAGCTGCCAGAGCCATCCTGAGCTCTGCGAGGGAAGGAGGGAAGGAGACCAGAAGCAAGGCTCCTGACCTCAGCCAGACAGCCCCAAGGGCTCCCATTACCGCTCTGCCCAAGGAAAGGAACGGGAAGAGCCCCCTCCCACCCTCTCAGGAAGGGTGAAGGGCCTTTCCAAAAGTACCTCTGGCAATTGTTTAAACAGCCAAAACACAACCGGGACATGTTCATGGAAAATCACCCCTGGTTCTGTCAGGGGAAAGCACCTCTCCTCCCCATCCCCTGTCTTGCGCCCAGAACACGTGATATCTCTTTCCCCCACACTGCAGTAAAGAATCAAGCAGAGAACGAACCTCACGGCTCAGGTCGGACGCCCAAGTTTGGGTGCTCATCGGTGAGCACGCAGGGACGTGCTGAACATTCAGGATGTCATTCTACTTATTCCCTACAGAACAGACGACCAATGAGGGAGTAGAGAGAACTGCCCGTTTACCAGTGCTGCTTCTCAGCCCCAAGAGTTCCCAACCACAGTGACACGCGTGTGTGCTCCTTCACACACAGGTCCCTGCCAGCGCCCACCATGTCGAGCCAGCCACCTCAGCCGCTCCGTTCCCACACACCTGTGACGCACGTGATCTCTACGAATATACACCCGCAGGTAAGTGTCAACAACCACACACCGCGGCACGACCACCTCTGTCTGCTTCATCCAAAGAAACCAGAACGCGCGCGCGAGAGAGAGAAGGCATTCAAATGTCCTCTGCGCCCGGAAGCTACAAGATCCCAGGAAACGTTGGAATCCCACAAGAGACGACACCAGGGCCAAAGGAAGGTTCTAGTACAACAAGGAGCACACAGCCACCTCTTCCCGAATGGCATGTGGGCGACTTGGGTGTCTACGCTCCCTTTTCTGAAGGGAAAGGCATATGGCTTCTCCCTACCCAGCCAACACGAACACAATTTGAGAAAATTAGAAAAAGTCAAGGTAACAGGCTCCCTAAATATGGCTGACTGGAAACAGAAGCCAGAAGGAGGATATGAGTTCTCTCAAAAAAGAATTGGGAAGTTTATTTCCAGGGAAGGTTCAGACACTCCCGAGTGTGGGACGCACGAAGTCTGGTTCCTGCTGCACAGGAGACGGTCATCAGAACACCGGACACGCAAGGACGCAAGACGCCCCTGGAGCTGGGCAGTGTCACCTGGGGACTGCGCCCTCCCACGGAAGGGCCAGCGGCACGAGTGAGTCCTGTGGCTCTTTTTCACTCAGCTGTGAGGCACAATGGAGACCCTGCCCTACATCCTCCTGGGGCACCCCCCTGGGCCCAGACAGGAACTCCATGGAGAGGGCGCGTGTCGGGGGAGTAGATAAACGGGAGGGGAGCACGGGCACGTCCAGGCTTCTCCCTAACAAAAAAGAGGGCAACTCACAGGGTGTTCAGGAAATGAGCTCACCCCAATCCAGGAAAGTGCGGAGAGTACACCTAATCTGGAAGTATCTGCTCTCCCATTTGGAAACGACTTCAGAGCCACACAGGCCCCCACGGTCCACCGGGCAGGGAGGAACACAGGTAGCCCGAGTCCCCTTGTCCTGGCCAAAGGGTCACCGGAGAGCGTGCGAGGCCCCAGGAGCTCCCACGGAGGATGAGCGGCTCAGGCGGACCCCAGTGCCGAGGAAAGATCGGGGTCACGGGAGGTAAAGGGCAAGGGACCGGACACGGAGACCCCACCCTCCCGGCTGTGAGGGTGCAAGGGCAAGAGTACGAGGCGAACGGCCGCGAGGGGCGGGGTGCTGCGCAGGCCCCCTCGCCTGCCCGGGAGGCGAAGGGGGAGGGCTCACACGAGGCCGTCTGCCGGGGGTCCCCCTGGCGGGGAGAGGCGCCCGGGGCTGAAGGGGGCCACCGGGGAGAGCACGTCGGCCCTGCCCGCCGGAGAGCAGGGGGCCGGCAGGGCTGAGCGCCGCCGCGGCCGCCCGAGGGGGACCGGCCCGGAGCAGCGGGGCGCGGGGCCGGGGGCCCGAGGCGGATAAACTTTCCGCCCCGCGGCCCCCACCCCGGGCCGGCGCTGGGGGGCGCGGGCCGGGGGCGCGGGCCGCCCGGGGTCGAGAGCGGCGGGGACTGCCCGGTCCGGGTGGGGGAGGCGCCGGCCCTCCGCCGGCTCCTCCTCCTCCTCGCTGGGCCCGGCCCCCGCCCCGCGCGCCCCCCGCCCCCTCCGGCCCCAGCCCGCCCCCGGGGGTGGGGTGTGGGGCGCCGCGCTCCGCCGGCCCCGCGAGTCACCTCAGGACTCGGCCGCGCTCCGCCCCCCCCACCCCGCCGGCCCCCTCCCCGGCCGGGGCGCCCGCCCGCCGCGCCCCCGCGCTCCCGCCCGGCGCCGCCGATGCCCGGGATGTCCGGCGGGGCCGGGTCCCGCCGCCCGCCGCGCCGCCCCCCGGCCCCTTGCGCTCCGGCTCTTACCTTCCGGCTTGTTTTCGGCAGCCATTTCCCCTCCGCGCGCCACATCCTCCTCCTCCTCGCGACCGGGACCCCGAGCGCGCGCCTCGTACCGCCGCCGCCGCCGGCCCAGCCACCCCGCCGCCGCCGCGCACCCGCCCTGGCCCCGCCCCGCGGCCCACGCACAGCGCCCGTTGGGCCGCGCGGCTGCCACTCACCGCGCCCACCACCAATCGCCCTGCACCAGGGGTCTCACTACTCTCCGGGAGGAGCGTCCTATCCATCTGGCCCATTGGCTGGTCACCACCCAAAGGACCGAAATGATTGGTCAAGAATCAACGCCCCCTCCCCACCCACTCCCAGGAAAGCCCGCCTTCCAGACCTAAACAAAGCTTCCCAGTGGCCTGGGCCCGAAAGGGCTGCCCAATTACGACGGGGCCGACACGGAATATTTCCTCGAGGCCGAGACGTGGCGTTTTCATTGGGCGTCACTACAGTGTTTCCCAGGCCGTCCAGACCAATCAAAGGGGGTTCCCGGAACTCGGGAGCGGCGGAGGGAAGCCCCGCCCCTAAGCGTGACCGTCATGAGGAAGGCGCTCGCTCATTGGCGCGCTGGGGCTTTTCCCGCGTGCTCCCGGGGCTGAAGGACGTTCCCGGGGAAGCCGCTGCCGGCGCGTGGGGTCTCGGTGGCCGTGGAGGGCGCGCCGGGATCTCCGGGATCCCGCAGCCTGTCGCTGCCGGCGGAGAGAGGGCCCGGGGTGGGAGGGGCGGCCCCTCGCGGCGCCGCTGTCCGCCGGGACGCCGCGGCCCTGAACCGGTCAGCGCGGGAGCCCGGGCGTCGCTGCCGGCCGCGGGGGAGGGGCGCGCGCGCGCCTCCCGCCAGGCCCCGCCCCTTCCCTCCCCTCCCCCCGGTCGCCGGCGCCCCGCCCCCTCGGCCCCGCGCCGCCGCGTCCCCGGGGCCGGCGGCCCGCCCGCGTCCGCCTGCTGCTCCCCGCCCCCGGTGTGCTCCGCTGTCCCCTTTTCCAGCGGCTTAAAATACTGAAACTTTATTTTGGTCACGTTGCCCATGTGACCGACGGGGCGATGACTCATACGCGCCTGTCCCAGGATGAGGCCGCCGAGGGGAGCGGTGGAGACGCGCTCGGCGCGGCGCGCCGGGCTGGAGGACGAGGCGGGACGAGGCGGGACGAGGCGCCCGGCGTCCCCGGCCTCCGCGCCGCGCGCGCTCGCCGACCGGCACGCCGGAAAGCCTCTCTGAGGAGAAATCGCGGGCGGAGCGCGCCGGGAACAAAGCGGGGGCCGAAATCGCGAAGTTGAACCGAGATTTTCACCGAGAAAGGCAAAAGTTGAAGGAAAAGCGGAGCCGCGGGCCCCGTGAGGGCTGGAGCGCGGCCGGCGGGCGCAGCGTTCCCGCTCGTCGCTGTCGCTGAGGAGACGCGGCCGCGGGAAAAGCCGTGCCTCGAAGACGCCGCGGAGCCGGGCGCCAGCCCCGACGACACGGGCTTCGGTTTCCCCAAGACGTCCCAGAAGAGGGACGTGCTCGTCTTTCCACAAACTTCTAATTTTATAAGCCTCAAAAAATGCAAACTTTGAACAACCAGGGTGCAGTATTTTATCGATTAGCATTCTTAATGGCACCTGTGTTGACAATTTCTGCAGTGGAACATTCTTAAAAGTGCTGGTGGCGTTGTGAATTAGTATAACCCTTTTGAAAAGCAATTTTACAGTGTGTATTAAAAACCATAAAAACGTCTGCATCTTTTGACCCAGTAATCTTACTTCTGGGAATCTGTTCTAAAGAAAATAACACGAAATGCAAAAAAAAAAAAAAAAAAAGCCGTATGTGTGAAGGTATTTACAGGATCACCGTGTGTGTTACACACACACACACAAAGCAGCAGCCTCCTGCCTACGTGGGCTGATGTTGGCTATTCAGCAAGTGAATCTCCGTTGTGTCCCACCCACAACGGGACATCAGAAACAGAACAAGGACAAGGGCTGTGGCACAGCAGAGTAAGCTGCCTCTTGCGGTGCCAGCATCCCATATCTAAACACCAGTTCCAGCCCCAGCTGCTCTGCTTCTGAGCCGGCTCCCTGCCGATGCACCGACAAAAGCAACAGACGATGACCCAAGTGCCCGAGCCCCTGCTTCTGGGAGACCTGGATGGAGTCCCTGGACCTTGGCTTCAGTCTGACTGTTGTGAACGTTTGGGAAGTGAACCAGTGAGTGCCCGATTCTCACACTCTCACTGGTTTTCTCTGTCATTCCACTTCGCAAATATTTTTTAAAAAACTTTGCCATTGCTAAGAGGGAGGAGTATTCAGAATTACGGTGCTCATTTATAATATGTGATGTGACGAGAGATACAAAAAACTGCATTTCAAAAAAATACTGGTGCACACCTCAAGTGACATTTAGGGGATTATGAGTGACTTTATTTTCTGTAATATAGTCATAATATTGTTTTTATATTTAAAATACATATTTAAATTTAAAATTCTATCTGGTACCTACTAAGGACCAGATGCTAAATTATAAAGATGAACAAAGTTGAGCATCCTCCTTCAAGGGAGAGTGAACAAAAAGCAGGACACTGTGGTGGGAACACAGGAGAAGGAAGCGACTATAGGCTGGGTATCAAGAAGGCATCACCATGGGACTGGCACTGTGGCATAGAGGGTTAAGCCACTGCCTGCAGTGCCATCATCCTGTATGGGCACCAGTTCAAGTCCCGGCTGCTCCACTCCCAATCCAGCTCCCTGCTAATGTGCCTGGGAAAGCAGCGGAGGATGGCCTAAGTACTTGGGCCCTTGCACTCACATGGGAGACTCAGAAGAGGCTCCTGGCCATTTGGGGAGTGAGCCAGTGCATGGAAGATCTCTCTTTCTTCTCTCTTTCTCTCTGTAACTCTGCCTTTGAAATAAATAGATCCTAAAGAAGAAGACATCGCCTTTACCATGGGAATTACCTTAAATGCAGGCCTGGCTCTCCAAGTGCGGAAGGGGATGTTCCCAAGATTCTTTCTTGAGATCCACAAGGTTAGAACTGACTTCTTCACAACATTGTGTCAATCTCTCCCATATGTACAGTGGAGTTTTCCAGAAGCTACATGACATGTTCTCTCCCTCCCTCCCTTTCTCCCTCCCTCCCTACCCTTCTTCCAAATAAGTTGAAAATAAGTTTTTAAAGATTTATTTTATTTGAAAGAGTGACAGGGGGAGTGGGAAGAGAGAAAGAGATCTGTCTGTTGATGCACTCCCCAAATGGCTGCAATGACTGGGGCTGTGCCAGGCCAAGCCTAGTGCCTGAAACTCCATCCAGGTCTCCCACAAGGGTGACAGGGACCCAAGCACTTGGGTCATCTTCCACTGCTTTCCCAGGCACATTAGCAGGGAGCTGGATCAGAAGCAGAGCAGCCAAGACTCAAACTGGCACTCCAGTATCAATGTCAATGTCACAGGCAGTGGCTTAACCCACTGCACCACAACACCAGCCCCTGTTTTTGGTCTTGGGTTTTTGTTTTTTTGTTTTTTTGTTTTTTTAAGATTTATTTTATTTATTTGAAGGGCAGTGTGACAGAGGGAGAGACAGGGAGAATAAAAGTAATGTTTTTTTGTTTTTGTTTTTTGGTTTTTTTTTTTTTTGTTTGTTTGTTTTTTTTTTTTTTTTTTTTTTTTTTTGACAGGCAGAGTGGACAGTGAGAGAGAGAGACAGAGAGAAAGGTCTTCCTTTTTTTTTCCGTTGGTTCACCCCCCAGTGGCCGCCGCGGCCGGCGTACCGCACTGACCCGAAGCCAGGAGCCAGGTGCTTCTCTTGGTCTCCCATGGGGTGCAGGGCCCAAGCACTTGGGCCATCCTCCACTGCACTCCCGGGCCATAGCAGAGAGCTGGACTGGAAGAGGGGCAACCGGGACAGAATCCGGCGCCCTGACTGGGACTGGAACCCGGTGTGCTGGCGCTGCAGGCGGAGGATTAGCCTAGAGAGCTACTGCGGCACTGGCAAAAGTAATATTTTTTAAAAGTTGCCATCCTGAAACAAGACCATTAGGTAGGTGATGAGAATATTAAATTGTCACCCTAAAAATATTTGTAAAAAGCCTTCTCTCAATAGTCAACTTCCAGAAATAAAGTACCTTTAATATTCTTGGGGTTAATAAAAATGAAAATGCTTGGGTTTGTTTCCTTCAATTAGAAGTTACTAAAGTTTACAAATTACTGGATTGGGAAAGCAGAAAATGTGGACTGACCCATTTCAGAAACTTAAACATTTCTGAAAGAGAAGTGACCCACCACTGCAACACTGGCATCTCATATCAGAGTGCCAGTTCAAGTCCTGACTGCTCTACATTTGATCCAGCTTCCTTTTTTTTTTTTTTTTTAAGATTGATTTAGGGTTGGCACTGTGGTATAGTAGGTTAAGCATCCACCTGCAGCACCGGCATCCCATATGGGTACCATTCGAGTCTTGGCTTCTCCACTTTCCTTTGAGCTCCCTGCTGATGTCCTGGGAAAAAGTCTAAGTAAAAAAAAAAAGTCCCAGTAAAAGTCTAAGACCTTGGACCCCTACACCCACATGGGAGACCTGGAAGAAGCTCCTGGCTCCTGGCTTCAGACCAGCCCAGCTGATGGAAGACCCCTCTCTCTGTCTGTTAACTCTGACTCTCAAATAAATAGATAAAAAATCTTTTTTAAAAAGATGTATGTATTTATTTTGAAAGTCAGAGTTACAGAAAGACAGAGAGATCCTCCAACTGCTAGTTCACTCCCAGATGGTCATTAGCAAGGAGTGATCCAGTGTACCCAAGGAGGTAGTGAACAATGGTCCAAGTACTTGGGCCCCTGACATCCATGTGGGACACTGACCCAGCCCTGGCTATTGCAATCATTTGGGGAGTGAACCATCAATGGAAGATACCTCTCTTTCTCATTCGCTCTCTGTCTCTGTCACTCTGCCTTCCAAAAAATAAATAAAGAGGGGCCGGCGCCATGGTGCACTAGGTTAATCCTCCGCCTGTGGCGCCGGCATCCCATATGGGCACCAGGTTCTAGTGCCGGTTGCTCCTCTTCCAGTCCAGCTCTCTGCTGTGGCCCGGGAATGCAGTGGAGGATGGCCCAAGTGCTTGGGCCCTACACCCGCATAGGAGACCAGGAGGAAGCACCTGGCTCCTGGCTTCAGATCAGCA